TGAACTTCTGTTTTGGGTCTTGTTTTGGTTTTTTGGTGGTCCGGGCCTCCTGCCTCCAGCCCTGTTGCTGGAGGTTTGAAACGAGCAAAATACTTGTCAGTGTTCTCTGGTCATTTCCAACTAGAGCATACCAGCGACAGGGTTACTGCTGGGGATCGTTTGCCTCTGTGGCCTGTATGTTGTGGGGTGTCAGCAGCACCCCTGGTCTCCACCAGTGGTGTCAAACAAAACCTGCCAGGGGACAAGGGAACATCCCCGTTGAGAGCAACCACAGATCGAACTCCCAAAACAAAAGGTGTTTGGGTCCCCAGTCATTTTTGTCTAGTGCAAAGAGACCAAGAGCCATTGCTCTTGCTGGAGGACTCTGAATGCACAATTCCTTTAAACGAACTAGGAGCAGAGTCTGGCAGCAGTTTGGATGACCATGTGGGGTCCACACCATGAGCACAAGTGGTTTGCTACAAGGAGTCTGCAGACAGAAACCGTGAGAGTTCTGCAATGAGAAGGCTGGGCAGTAACTTTACAAAGTCCAGCCCTACTTCCTGATAAAGAAAAGTACGGTCAGTTTAAAACATCCCATACACTTGTTATATATATCTGTCCACCTGAGGTGACACACTCGCCCCACAAAAACAAACCAGTGATCAGATTTGGTCTGTCCTAGGACACGGGAATGGGTTACTACAGAAAAGTCAACTGATGTGACTATTGACAATAAGAGATAAAAGGAGAAAAACAGGAAGAGTGTTTAATTAGCGGCAGGAAAAGCAGGCACTGAATGTCAATGCACTCAGACTGTCGGAGGACACCTGCCACACAGGCTCTCTTCCCAGGTCATCACTGCAACATTGCGCTGAGAACAGTAAAGAAATGAGCAGAACAGCCGGGAGCAATGGTGTGTGCCTGTAGTCCCAGCTCCTTAGGAGGCTGAGGCAGGAAGATTACTGGAGCCCAGGAGTTTAAGACCAGCCTGGGCAACCTAAAAGGACACCATCTCTTAAACGAGAGAGAGAGAGAAAGAAAGAAGCTTTCACCATCTGTAGATGACATGACTGTCCACTGAGGAAATCCGAGAAGCTCTCGAGCCAGTTGTTGGGAATAATACCACTGGGGCGGACAGCAGTGCTCCATGTGGGTGGCCCTGCCCACACGCGGGGGCCACCTACAGCCAGTGCCCCTCGTGAGGGAAGTTCATCTGCACTTTGGAGGGACAAGGAGGAGAGAACGGGGTGACACTAAAAATGAAGTGTGGCCCCCAAGACATGGCATCCACTTCTGGGGCCAGGTTCATGGGCCTTGCAGGCTGGAATGGACAGTCCCTGAGGCCCCTCTGGCTCCATCCCTCAAGGACTTGCCTCTTGATTCCCGCTCACACTGACTGATCAGGTGAAAACCCAAGAGTCACGTCCATGAGGACAACTACAGGACCTCTCGCACGCCACCTGCCTGGCCTACCGTTTCTACCAGACTCCCCTCCGATTCAAAGCAGACCAGCACAGCCCGATGTCTGGACCCCAGAGCCCAGGCTCCAGGGGTATCCTTTTGGCTTATATTCTCCAAGTAATTCCACGGTGTCACACATGGTATCTGTGAGACAAGACACACGTGGAGCAGAGCTAAGGCAAGGGCCCAGCTCATCTGCTACCCCGGGGCTACAGAGGACTGGAGGAGCTGACGGACTCCAGTCACCCGAGCCATAAAACACATGGGAGATTAAAAAAACCTCTGAGAATCAAGATTGCCAATGTCTTAGGCAAGAAAAGATAAATGTCCCAGCTCAAACAAAGAGCATGAATTCATCCTTCCTGAATAAATGGCATGATGTGCACTTAAACACAAACAAAAACAAACAGGGAAGGTGCGGGTACCCAACCCTTTACCTGTGTTCCATCAGGAGCAGCACAGTACAGAATGTTCCAGAAAACTGACACTCCTGAGTGGAGAAGGAAGCCACTGCCCAGGACACTATAACCTGGAGCTTCTTGGCACGTTAGGAATTTATGAACAGCACTGGCCAGAGGGACAGGGAAAGAGAGATGGCTCCACATCACATAGGAGGTAAAGTCCACCTTCCACGGAGGTGAGCATCTGGGCCAGCCTGCAACCCCGAGAGGACTGCATATTGTCCATTCACCTGCACACGTGGCCTCTGACCCCAGATGACCCAATACAAGGGTGAGCCTCCAGCTCTCTGCTGCGCTCCAACCACACGCAGGGGTCAAGGCTTGAAAGTCCATGCCACTCTAATAAAGTGGGGGCAGGGAGCTAGCTGGCTGAAGACTTCACTCAGGTGTTCCGACATGCCCAGAAAGAGGTGTGTGCAGGCGTGTGTACATATGCACTGCTTTGGGACGTGTGTGAAATGGAAGGACTTCTTACATAAGGCGGCTTACTAGAAAATCCCGAGACAAGTTAAAGTCCAGTTGCACAGGCATGTTGACATGGAGACAGCTGTTTAGAAACTGTGCGTTTATGTTCCCTCTTAGCTTTGAAAGGTCAGCCGCTAGCCACTCTTAGTGGTTTCCTTCAGGAAGAAGACAGGATTCTAGATGGGTTGAAGAGTGTAATTTTGGTTTTAATTATTTCTTAGATTTGGTTCTGTGTTTTAATTTTTATAAGCATATATTACTTCTATAACTAAGACTGAAAAACAGATCTTGATAGTACTGGGATTTGAACTCAGGGCCTTGAGCTTGTTAGGCTGGCCCTCCACCACCTGAGCTATGCTCCTAACTGAAACTCAAATATTAAGAAAAAAATCAACTGGCTTGCAGAAGGTGCATTCAACAGTCTGACTGTCCTGCACATTGATAAGACTTGTTTCTTCACTTAGGAAAAACCTCTTCCCTTGCAGGATGTCTGTCTTCTCCAGACACAGTGTGGCTCAGAGCAAAATCTGAGCCCTTGGCTCTCCCCTCATGGCACCCCCTGGAGTACAAAGATAACCCCTCCCCCACCCTAGCAAGGCGCAAAGCCTGCACAATGGCGGCAGCGCCTTCCTTAGCACTTTGCTGCCCTTGCTTTCCTTGCTGTCAGAGGGCAGATCAAATCTGCTGACCATCTCTGGCTTTTCCAGAAGCCTGGCCAGAAAGGACCTTAGACATGGGCTACACGTGTGGGCCACAGCAGCAGATGAGCTCAGCCCCTGTCCTTTGGGCATAAGTCACCATCTGCTGCCCAGCCACTCTCTCACCAAGGCGCAGGGCCAGCCTGGAGCAGATGCTCAGTACCAGAACTCAAGGAACCGTGGGGTCCCAGCAATAGGGTATGCTGCCCATCTTAACCGTGAAAGACCAAAATCACGAGTGGAGATTTTGCCCACATCAGTCACCATCATCCCCCTCCTCAGTGGCCTCCTTCAGCCCCCGGGGCCCTGGAGCTGCTATCCCCACAGTTACAACAAAAACAGAGTTCTAACCTGCCGTTCTCCTTCCCGTTCTTCCCAGCCCTCCGTTGTAACAGAACCCTGGTCACCCATCCCCAGAAAGGAGGGAGAGCATGCTGACATGCTCCTAGATGCTCTCAGAGTTCTTCCTGCAGAGCTCTGCCTGGCGACTGGACAATCCCTCTTGCCCGGTGACAAACTGCTCAGAGCAGAGGCTCTCAGCCCCACTCACAGCCCCACAGGCTGCCTGGTGGAGCTGGTGGCCACTGCACTGGCTGTGAGCTCTTTCCTGAGCACAGTCCAAGTACTGCTTGGTGACTTTTCAGTCCAAAGAAAGGGAACAGAGTGAGAGCTGAACTTTAGGCTGTGATGCGGTGGGGTGCTCTTTGATGCAAAGTGGTGGGGTGCAACAATGTAACAGGGCACAAGTACCCAATCAATTACAGCAGAACCAGCAAAGCCGCTAGCCATGGAGAGTGAGTGAGGCAGCTGCTCGGAGCGCTGGACCGCAATGGTCAAAGACACTAAACAACGCCACTGTAACTGGAAACAGGAGACACTTCCATGTCTAGGCCATATAGTTAAGCGTTATTATTTTAAGCAAGTCAGGACTATGAACAGAAAAAGCATGAGATGGCATTAGGGGTGTAGCAATCCTAACCACTTTTTTTTTTTTTTTGGCGGGTGGAGAGCAGGGGTGCTGTTTTTGAGACGAGGTTTTACTTTTACCAAATTATGAATTTTCAGCATACAGTCAGTCATAATTACGACCCAGGAGGCTAAATGCCTACCGCCTGCCAAGAACAGAGACGGACATCAATCTGCGATCCCCCAGAATGAACACTGGGAGAGTCTCTGCACGGCACTTTCCAGGTCCACGAAAGAAAGGCAGGAGTCCACCTGACTTCTGTGGATGAGCTTTTAGCTTAAGCCCTGTCAGTAGGTTCCAGGAATGACCTGAAGCCCCAAAGCAGGTGGCCACAGGAGCACTGCCCCATCCCTGAGGTCACTTGGCAGAACAGGTGCTGTCCTCAGGTCTGAGGATGCAGGGTCATCACACGACCGAGCAGCCCAGGGATTCCTGCTGTCCACCAGCGTTGTGTGTAGGTCCTGCTTCTGGCGGGGAGTGCACACTGATCCGGGGGCCATGTGCCTCTGGGGTCCCAGCTACACTGTGGCTGCTGATCTTGGGAGATCGAGGGGCTTCTGGGGCCACTCTGCTGAGGGGACCCCATGCCCAGGCTGTGGCCAGGGCCTCCTCAGGCCCAGAAGCACCTGCAGCTTGGCCCTTCCCGACTCAGCTTGCCCTCACAGAAAGAGAACCAAAGCATGTGAACTTCCGTGTCTCGCCTTTAGACAAACGAGAGCAAGGGTAACCATGAGACGCTGGAACACATATCACTTTAAGAAAATGAAGCAGTATAATTCTCAGGCACGTGGTCCACCCGCTGCATCTGAGCTGGGCAGACACCCTGGGCTCAGAGACTGACAGCCTTCTCCCTCCGCTGACTAAAGCCAGCCCTGTCACCCAAGGGGCCCCACACCCAGGCTGTACCCAGGACACATGAGTGACCATGAGGATAGACACGCAGCGGGATGCACTCGCCTCACTTACCAAGGCACAGTCAGCAGGGCTGGGCGGCGACTGTCCTCAGAGGTGTCCAGCCGGAAGGGCCTGGAAATGAGACACACGTGAATGTGTGTGCTGAGGGGCATGGGAAGGCTGCATGTCAAGGAGACTGAGAACCCCGTATCTGCCTCCTCTCACTGACGGAGCACCCCTCGGACCGACGCAAACGCCAGGATCACGTCACCCCGGGATCTTTCAAGTGCCATAACTTCCCACCACCTGACAAGGAGGCCAGCAGATGGCGCAAAATGAGCAAACCCTGAGACAGCAGAGGTCACACCCGGACCCTGGGGAGCAAGCTAGTGCTCACAGGCTCGCAGAGCAGCAGAGGTGGGCTCCACCACACAGAACCGCTCAGCCCTGGGCCTCCAGGCTCCCCTGCCCACTAGTGCAGACTCTGTTCCCCGTCCCACCTGCCCCACCTGCCGCACCAGCCCAGCACACACGAGCCTGCCTGGGACAACACAGCAACACTTACAATACTAGAAAAATACACAGAGAACTCAGCATCGTAACAATGTCTGCACGGCTTGGTGGCACTGAACACGCTTGTGTGGTTATACAGCCATCACCTCCATCCATCTCCAGAACTTACTCCTCCGCCCCATTCAACACTAGCTCCCCAGGCTTGCTATCCTACCTCCTGGCTCTATTACCTGACGACTCTGGGATGTCATGCAAATGGAGTCATTTGTGACCGACTGCTTTATTGAATTGAGCACGATGTGCTCAAGTTTCACCACAATGTGATGTGTGTCACAGTTCCATTCGCTGAATGGCCCCTACAGACTAGATGTCTGTCTCCCCGCCCCCAAAATCACATGCTGAAATCCAAGCCCCACTGTGGCTTACCTGGAGGTAGGGCCTTTGGGGTCTCGAGGGCGGGGCTGCGTGATGGGCTGGGTGTCCTTATGAGAAGGGACACCTCTCTCTGCCATGTGAGGACGCACTCGGGAATAGAGCGCTCACCAGGACTCACCAGCCTGAACCTGATCCTGGACTAACAGACTGCAGAACCGGGCGGTTCTGTTCTGTTGTTTAAGCAGTCAGTCTAACTCACCACAGCCAGGTCTGTATCACAGATTTTCTTTTCTTTTGGTGTAGTAAAAATAACAGTAAAGTCTCTTAGGAAAGGAAATTAGTATATATAATAGGGTAAAGTGAGGAGAAATGAAGAGAAAATGGAGAAGTCTCTCCTGCTCCCATACAGGACATGGGGGTGAAGACCACATGGATTTTCTTCTGTAGGTCTTGTAGATTTAGCACTCATATTTAGGTCAATGATGCGTCTTAATATGATATTAAGTAGGACCAGGCATGGAAGCACACACCTGTAATCCAAGCACTCAGGAGGCTGAGGCAGGAGGCTGGTGAGCTTAAGGCCCAGCCTGGGCTGCTCACCCAGGCTGAGACCTTGTCTCAGAAAAAAACAAACAAAATGGAATGGCGTAGGGCACAGGTCATTGGTTCGTATGTGGGCTTCGAGCACTACCATTCAGTACTTTTTGCTTTTTTTTTTTTTTTTTTTTTTTTTTTGGTATCTCTGGTAGTTGAACCCAGAGTCCTGCCAAGCACTTTACTGAGCAGTATTCCTAGTCCTTTGTCTCTAAGTGTCTTATTTCATCTATTTATTGTTTTGTTTCTCTTAGAGACAGAATCTCCTGTGCAGCCCAGGCTGGCCTTGAATTTGCCACCTGCCAGGCTCCACTTGCTGAGTGCCGGGCTCCGTTGTGTACCTCCACGAAGCTCTGCACTGCGCTGTCTCTGGACTGCACAGCTCCTGGGCAGCTTCTGCTCTAATCTCATCTTCATTCCTTTGCACTGATCGGATTTTGCCTGGGTTGTTGTTAAGATGGCAGCAATTTGAGAATGATGCCCTGGTGTGGTTTGCTCTGGGTTTCTTAGCTTAAGGTTTGTTGAGCTTCATGGAGTTTTCAAACAATTTGGAAAATTCAAGCTGTTAATTTTCCCAAATATTTTTACCACGTATGCCCTATAAGTCAATTTCATGTGTTATTCCATGACACGGTCCCACAGAGGTTCTGTTCTTTTCCTGTTTCATTTTGCAATGCTGTGTCTTCAAGGACACTGACCTACCTCCCCAGTACACCAACCTCTTTGCAGTCTCACTGACCACTGACCAATCCAGCATATTTTTCTTATCTACAAGATTTATTTGGGTCTCTGTTTTTATAGCTTCCATTTCTCTTCATTTTGGTCACATTTTTTGGGCTGGCAGAGTGGCTCAACTGGTGGAGCAACTGCTTAGCAAGGGTGAGGCCCTGAGTTCGAACCCCAGCACCATCAAGAACAAATGTTGATCACATTTTTCAGTTACTGGACACATGGCCCAGCCACGTAATAGCCACCTTAACATCACTGCCTGCCAATTCTGCCATCTGGACAGATGGGTACATCTGGGTCTGCTTCTGACCACTGACTCTTGTCCTCTTCTTAGTTATTGGCATAGCCATTGAGCTTTGGTTGGCTGCTGGACACTGAACTTGACATTGGATGCCAGCTTTTGTGGCAGGCTTCCTTTGTAGCTGGCATTGGTCCTGGTGGTGGGCTACTGTCCACTTAGAACCAGCCAGATCCCTGCAGTGCTGTGATGGAGCTTTGCTGGGGTGGACAGCTTGTGTCTCAGGCTAAGACTGCCCCCTGCCTCCCCACCAAGGAGTTGTGGAGTCTCTGCACTGGCAGCCGGGAACACAGACTTCATCCCCACTCACAGGGGCCCTGGGGACTGTCCTGCCTGCTCCATGCCACGGTCCTTTCCCTTGCTAGGTAGCATTTACACATGCACACATCAGAACTTAGCTGAGGCCATAGCCCCTCTCAGCTCCCCAGGCTCCCTCCTCCCACTTTTCTCCATAATTTCCAGACTTCTTGGAGTCTCTTAAGGACACCTTGTCTCCACCAGGTCTTGGCTCCCTGTCCCTGGGCCATGCTGAAACTCTGCAGGCCCATGCTGGACCCCTGGGTCCCCTTCCTTGCATCTCTCCTGCAGTCACGTCCTGTGCCACCATGTGCTACAGCTCAGTCTTCTGCTCAGTCAAGGTGGGGTGTGAAGTCAGGCCCCTCCATTCCATTCCATGGCTACAAGTGGCAGTTGGAATCTTCTCTCTCTCTTTCTGTCTGTCTGTCTCTCTCTCTCTCTCTCTCTCTCTCTCTCTCTCTCTCTCTCTTGCTGAGCATATATTAATTGTATGAAGTGGTTTCATTGTGGTATTTCCAAGCATGCATAAAATACACATTGATCGAATTCACATGCTCTATGGCTCTCCGCCTCCCCCCTCTTAAACAATCTTAACAGGGTTCCTTATTCTATGTGTATGAAATACTCTGGTCACATTCACCCCCACACCCTCCCTCTTCTGCTCTCCCCCCACCACTGGTTCCCACTCCCAACACCCCTCTCCCATTTACTCTCATGCCATTCACTTCTTTTAGGTCTAGACTCTGCACAGGAGAAAGAACAAACATGCGATATTTGTGTCTTTCCCAGACTGACTTCCTTCACTTAACATGATGACCTCCAGTTCCATCCATTTTCTGTGAATGACATAAGCTCCTTCCTTTTTATGGCTGAATAATACTCCTTTGGGTATATATGTCACATTTCCTTTATCCACTCGCCATATGGTGGGCACCTAGACATCTCACTAATCCCAATCAGGGGTACCAACCTGGGATCCACCGGCACTTCAGGCCCAGGAGAGGCCTGTCACCCAGCCAACCCACAGCCAGCACTGCAGAGAACAAAATCCTCGCCAATGTGCACTGCTCATGGCAGTGTCTCTTTACGAGGGACGCAGGGCTATTTACTGCCCACCACAGCCCAGAATAAAAGCCTGCAGTTCATTAGCAAAACTACAGCGCCCCCAAGCCACAGCAGGTGCCACCTCCACCTGGAGACACCTGGGCTTTCCTCCTCTGTTTACCCTCTCAACCAATTTATCCAACGAGGTGGAGCACATCAGTGTCTCCAGTCGCCACTCTGTCACCCTTCTCCCACGCCCCACTCGTCTCCATCCGAACCTTGCCAGGCTGAGGTGGCTGTGTGGAGAGTGACGCTGTGCCCTCCACACTGCTCCGCGACACTCCATCATGGAGCATGGGGGTGCGGGGCACCGCTCCCAACAGAGGTGCGGTGAGCAAAGGGGCACAGCTCAAAACCGCAGGTGCTTCTCAGTGCCACAGCGGTGCCGCAGCTCACTGTGGCCCCCAAGTGTGGCCTTGTCCTCACCAGAAGGGCAAGGGCATCGCTGGCAATCAGACACTGGTACTGCAAACTTGCAGGAGACCTTTGTACTCTGGACACAAGTCCCTTGTCAGATACGTGATTCACAAGTATTTCCTTCCAGGCTATGGGTTGTCTTTTTGCCTTTTTGAACATGTCCTTTGAAGCACAAAAACTTTTCATTTTGATCTGAAAAGCAGCCAGAGGCCGGTCACTTTCCCAGGAGAGAAGCCTGACAGCAACACCTCACAGAAGGGAGGGCAGAGGCCAGCAGAGGCCACCACCAGCATGTTAAAGGATAGCCACAAGTCCAGGACCCCATAGCCAGCAAGCATTTCCCTGAGGGAACAGGAAGAACTGAAGACACCTTCAGGAGACAAAAATGGGCAGGCAGGGCACCAGCAGAGCCCAGCTACAGGAATGGCTGGTATGTACCCATGCCACGGGAAAGTTGATCTGGCAGGGTTGGGAACACAAAAAATAAAGGGTAGAGAATGTGGCAAACAGTAATAAGAATAACTCAGCAATGACGGGTGAGAGTAAAAAGGGGAAGCTGGCACTGTGGGGCACCTGGAGTCCCAACACTTGGAAGGCTAAGGTAGGAAGATCCCTTAAGCCCAGGAGGGCAGGGCCAGTCAGGGCAACATAAAGACCAGTCCCTTCAAAAATACTAATAATAAGCAAAATAAATAAAAAGATAAAAATTGTTGGAAAGGGAACAAGTGAAATGAAGGGCTCTCACATCCTTGGATCATCCCAAATGGTAAACTGAGGGCTACTTTTGGCTTTTTGATAATTAAGG